GAATAAGAAAACTTGCCATCAAGGAATAAGTACTAAATGATTTTATTAATTTGTAAATGGCTCCTCATTAGGAGGATTGAATACAACATTATTGCTAAAACAATCTACGATGGTGTGATACGCTGCTAGTTAATTCATCCCTAAAATTACATCAAAATTTCTTGTGTCTAATTCTATTAGTTCTATATTCAGTTTTCTATTTGCTATCTCTACGGCACAAGCCCTGTAGATAATTTCTTCCAATAGTGTTACACTCCCAGCAGTAGACACAAATAATATTGAATCAAGTTTATAAGGTAATACATTCAATTTTGATGTAAAAATAGGTGAAATAAATGAATGCGATGCACTAGTATCAATCAAAATATGAGCAAGATGGTTACAGATAGTGTACATACCCTGTACCACGTCTGGGTCGGCTTCGGCATCCTCTTGGGTGAGGTTGTAAACTCTGCTCTGAATAGGGGGTCTGCCCTGATTCTGGTTCCTTAGGAACTTTCTTGCATAATGTTGGGCACTATCACATATGCGAAAGGTGTTGTTGAGGCGGTAGCAGGGTCGGTCCCCGTGATCCCTGGCGCAATGCTAACAGATCTTACCACGTCCTGCTACTGGAGCCTGAGGGGGAGTCTGGATCACTGGTCTGGGCCTCTTGTTCTGTTGGATAGGCGCAGTAGGTGCTGGTCTGCGGGGTGGAGCTAAGGATTTGTGGTTCCCTGCTGACTGAGGGAGGGTGTGGAGGCTCATCTCTACTAATTGTGCCTTGGCCAGAACAGCCGAATAAGTTCAAAGCTCCAGTACAAACAAATGTTGCTTGATCTTTGGGCGGAGGCCCCACTGGAACTTCCTAGCCTTCCTGCCCTCATCCAAAAACATCTCAGGGGAGTATCGGCCCAACTCCAGGAACTTACGAGTATATTATGATACAATCATATTCCCCTGGACCAACTGGACAAACTCCATTTCCTTCAGATGTCGGATGTACTCTGAGAGGTACTCTGCATGAAAGGCTGCTAGCAACTGTTCCCAAGTAACTGGAACAAGCAAAGTAGTCTACTTGAGTTCCCACCAGCAGTCTGTTTCTCCTACTAGCATGTAGGTAGCAAGGGTGACCCTCTGTTCGGGAGTCACCCCTAGGGTCTTGAACACATTCTTCGTCTCCGTCAATTAGTACTGGGCATCTTCAAAAGAGGATTTCCCTACAAAAGTAGATGGGTTCAGTCTCCTGTACCTCTCTGTGTAGCTTGGGTCAATCGTGGGAGGAACTGGGTCCCGTGGAAGAGGGACTGGGCCAGGCTAAGGATAAACTGGGGAGCCCTGTGTTGGTACTTGCTAATACGGTGGGGGCACTAGATTATACTGTGGCGGTGCCGGGCATTACTGTGACTAGGGCACCAGATTATACTGCAGTGGTGCCGGGTGGTACTGTGGAGGAGCAGGGTCGTACCGGGGTGGCTCAGAAACCTCTCGCTGCAGTGGTGGCTCAACCTGTGGCAGCGGGGGAGGGTCAGGTAGCTCCCTCCTCTTCTCTCGACCCTGCTGGGCAGCAATGAGTTTCTCCAGCATCTCAAATATCTTGTCAACGTCTTTCCGAAGTGAACCATCCCGGGTGCTCGGTTTAGTGGGGGTCTTCCTCTTCTCATCTCTCTGTACTTGCATTTCACAAAGAAGGGTTGAGTAATGATTCATTGGTTTGGTGTTTCTCTAAATATTATTGTGTAAGGGACGGGTCCGAGGAACGCAGCTCTAATACTAACTGTAACGGCCCCGGAAATTCAAAAAAAAAAATACATATAATAATCTAGTACGGAAGCGAAATAAAAGATTAAGGTTAACATCCCTTACACAATAACTTAAAAGTACTAAACAGCATCACGGAATAAGTTCTCTGAAAGAAATACGAGAAATGAGGAAAATAAAGGAAACTATAAAATATCTAACATCTACTCGTAGTCTTCTTGTGGATCGGACTCAGGAACTAGATCCTTCTGATCTGAAATTGTTAAATAAAGAATGAGTTATACTAGCTCAGTAATGATATCACACTATATCACCATCACAGAAGTAAAGGCTAGTAGAAAATCAAAACAACCAATGGAGCAGTAGATTTAAACCAACACATTTATTTAAAATAAAATCATTTACCATTTTTCTTACCATCGAGAAATTTATGCAAACAAATTACAGAAGCAGTAATATCATACAGATCACAATTTTATGCATAATCAGTAACGGAAAACATATCATAAATTCGTATTAATCAACAATAACTGATTATCACCGTTTCTCGTTTTCACCAGCCTATTAATATCTATGGGGATCCATAGGGGTGTCCTCGCTACACGTGAGTCATTCCCCTTAACAATCTTAATTTCAGGGCCGTTCTCATATCCCGTCTGGTATTAGCGCCAAGATATTAAACTCCAATACCCCGTCTGGTATAAGGGTGAAGCGGACCGTCCCCATACCATGTCCGGTATGAGCGCTAAATGACCAAGTCTCCATACCCCGTCCGGTATGAGACAACGTTCACGGTAGGGTTCCCTATGAATTTGGTCCGTCCACCATCTCACAGGATATCTAGTGAGGTTGTCACCTTATCTGTTTTTCCTTGGTCTCCATTACTAAGTTAAACATAATCACATCAATAATAAACATGCACCCGGTAATACAATCATATCTTAAATTCTAAAATCATACAGTGGTCAACTAAGATAGTAATACATGCATTTAAAACCATAAAATAGATAAACCAGATACCATAATGCATTTAATTTATAAAATAAATCAAGCAGGAATCGACAGAGAATAATGTCCGGTTCGGGCCTCATTAGCAATCTTAATTAATTATGCATATCTATTTAATTTGTACAAAATACAGTATTATCATTTGATCTAACTTCAATCCCATTATAGGAAATAAGGTGATGGGTCCTTACGTGATTCGGCGCCGAAAACTAGATGGTGACTGTACCTACGGCCGGTCCCTGAGTTCCATAAATTTTTCTTCGGGAATTGAAATGCGCTTACGATACCTACAAGGAGTAGAATTTTTACCTCGTTTGGCGGTCGGAAATTTTTCCGGTACGGCGACGGGTGGCGGCGGTCAGCTCCCCGGCAGCTGGGCTGTCTTCTCCGGCGAGGGGCTCTGGCAGCTAGGGTTAGGGTTTGGGTGCGGATGAGGTTATTTATACCCATCCGTTTTTGATATGGGCCGTCCATCGCTTTTAATCTGGACCGTCCGATCGCGATTAAATAGGGAGTGAATCTGGGCCATTCATCGCGAATCAATCTGGACTGTCTGTGCGTGATTCAATCTGAACCGTCCGTGCGCAATGCAATCTGGGCTGTCTGTGTGCGTTTTTGATCTAGGCCGTCCGTGCGCGCGGGAACGGATCTCAGTCGTTCAATCGTGCGCACGCAGATCGTCCACGTGGCTCCCCCCGCGTTAGCGTCTCTGCCACCTGGCGCGTCCTGGTTGGTCGAAACTGCTGACTGGGCAGTTGACGTGGCGTAACTTTTCTAAATTACGTTTTGACTCCCGTTTTCTGATTTTTCTTTCAAAAATACCATCAGATCCCAAAATTTCACATCGTTTTCCCAAAATTGTTTTCAATTAAATTTTCAATTATTTTTTTCACCATTTTTATTATTATTATTACTATTATTTTCATTGAATCAAATTAAAATAAATTAAATTAAATTAAAACATATTTATATTTATATAGAAAAAATAAAAATAAAATAAAATAAAAATAATAAAAATTAATTGGGTGTTACATGTATTGTATTGAAATAAAGTTAAAATAAATGTAGAATTTATTGGCGAATTCATTCTTATTTTAATAAAAAAAAGATAATAAAACCTGTTATATAAAATAATAAAGACTAGTCTAATATTAGTTCAATAATTATGGTTTTTTTTTATAAATTATACATATGTAATGAAAATAAATAGAAAATTTCAAAATAAATTTGCATTAACAATTTAAATTCATTTTAAAAATAGGCTTTATTAGAATCTCTTCCCATAAATAAATAAGAGTTTGTATTTTATCACATCTTTAAATGTCATATATATATATATATATATATCTGCAATTATTAGATAATCGAAATATATTATTTTTAAAATAATCTTTATTACTCACTAGCTACTGATTTAATAATTGAAATTGTTACACTATTTTAACATCATAAAACAAAAATTTACCTCGATATGATTTTAATGAATTTTATGGTATACTGGGGCTAAAGAAACATTTTATAGTGAAACATTTATTAATTTTATTTTAATATAAAAAAGTTGAATTAATTTTTTTTTAATCTATTATGATTATTCCAATAATTAGAATATTTCTTTGTGACTGAGGCTAAATAGTATGAACTCACAGTATTGACTCACTATATATCAATAAAATGATAAATTTATAATTTTTAAATAAAATATAAAGTATAAAATTGAATTAGGACGCATTAATAATTTATTTATTACATATGTTAATAGAGAATATATGTACCGGATTTGTACTTTAGATTTAAAACAAAACAGCCGGTTAACCATACGGACGGAATTTGTTTTCCGTACTAAAATAACAGCTTTTACAACTTGAGATTCTGGATGAACATTTGCTGGAGAGAAACGGTGTCAGTTTACCTTCAGATTATTTCTTTTCACCCTTTAATTAGATCATTACTATTATTATTGCTGCCAACATACGAACTACTAAATATACTGACCTTAAATATAGGCTAAACGCCCAGTTTTCACCTCTATTTTAACTAAATAAAAAACTTAATTACCGTCAAAGACGGTAAATTTTTCTAATATAACTAAATTTAATTAACAAATACCAGAATATTAAAATAGAAAATTTTCGCATCTCCTCAGATGTATTTAAGGAGGGGAGGCATATGAAATTATTAATTAAAATTAATAAAATCTAAGTTCAACATTAATCGCCAGAAACTGTAGGTGCTGTACATGAGACGCGGACACCATGGCCATTGCAAAGAGATTATTAGGAGGAATCATAATTGATAATGTGAAGTTTGTAGGTTTAATCATCTTAGCTTTACATTATTGTTCTTGCGTGGCCAATGGTGCTGAGTTCCCCGGCGTCCGCCGTGCTCTTGCCGGAGGAGCTGGACCTGCAGTTTTTGACATTACCAAACACGGTGCTCAACCCGACCCTAGCTTTGACAATGTCGAGGTAAGAACCTATTCGTTTATTCGTAATTATAAATTATTATTGACGATAACAATATAAATAATCGATTTAGTAATTTTTTTATTAGATTAAAATTTTAAAATAATCGATTCAATTAATTATTTAATACCGTGAAGGCAATTATGGACGCATGGTTAGCTGCATGCAACAATCCGACACCTGCAAAAGTAGTAATACCGGAAGGGGAATTTTTGACCGGTCCGGTTGTATTTCAAGGCCCATGCAAAGCCAAACCCATAACGGTTGAAGTTTTAGGAACAGTGAGAGCCACCACTGATATTAGTGAATACACTTCTGGAGAATGGTTCATGTTTGAATATATAGATGGCTTGATTCTCACCGGCACCGGGACCTTCCATGGCTCCGGCGAGACTGCCTGGCAATACAACAATTGCGCTAATAATAACAGATGCCAAATGCTTCCTACAGTCAGTACTATTTTTTCTTAATGCAATTCTATAAAACATAAAAATTTACTTGGAAATCGAAATTGAAAATTTGAATTTGCAGTCTCTGAAATTCAGTCATTTGAACAACACTGAGGTATCCGGAATAACATCGATAAATAGCAAAGGATTCCACATTTTCTTGCTGTACAGCCAAAATTTTACAGCTATCAACATCAACGCAACAGCACCAGACGAGAGTCCAAACACGGATGGGTTTCACACGAGCAATTGCAATCTTGTCACAATCCGCGACAGTTTCTTCGGAACCGGGGATGACTGTGTCTCAATCGGTCATGGAACTACCAATGCTCATGTCTCCGGAATTACTTGCGGCCCTGGACATGGTCTCAGGTCAAATATTTACCTCAAAAAAAATTTCACCATTACAAATTTTTTTAAATATACTAAAGTAATTTTCTTGTTACAGTGTTGGTAGCCTTGGTAAATACGACGACGAAAAGGATGTGACCGATATTACTTTTAAAAACTGCACATTGACTAACACCACCAACGGCGCTAGAATCAAAACATGGGCTAACTCACCTCCAAGCCAAGCTCTCAACATACGATATGAAAATATTGTTCTCAATGCTGTTAAGAACCCTATCATCATTGATCAGAACTATGGTGCCAAGAAAAAAGCGGTAAATAATTTTTTACTAATTTTCCCATTATTTTTCTTACAAAATATATTTACTTTAATCTAATATATATATATATATATATTTTTTTTTACTTTAGCCGGCACCAAAGCCATCACAAGTGAAGGTAAAGGACATTCATTTCATAAACATAAGGGGGACATCAGTTTCCAACGTTGCGGTGTCCCTAAGTTGCAGTGCCAGTTTCCCCTGCGAAGTTGTTGAAATGGCTGACATTAACATAAGCTATGGAGGCAAGAATATCAGGAATACAACTATATTGTCTTCTTGTTTGAACGCCAAGCTTTCTTATAAAGGCAAACAGAACCCGCCAGCTTGTCTCTAATTCACACAACTCCCCCAATTTTTTTTACTCTTCTGGCCTCTGCCAGGTCAAAATAGCTTATACCATTTTTTTTTCTACTTTTAATTTTCTTTTATCTTTTTATAAAAGGACTAGTTACCATTTACAGACGGGAACAGTTTATGCTCCTAGTGGTGGCACAGAAAGGGAAAGAGGTGTTTCCATGTTTCAATTACTGAGTCAAAGAAGTGAACCTTCTACAGTCAAGGAAACAAATTATTGGTGTCCATTGTTGTTTTTGAAGGATGCTAAATGCAATAAAATTGAGGACTAGAAACTCCAGGATGCCCGCAAAGCAATTATTTTTTCTTTCAATTATCGGATTAATACGATTCCTACAAATATTTATTAATAACATTATACAGTATTATCTAGTTTATATTACGGCGTAATAATAAAATATTATTCAATATTATACAAAATTATATTGTTATAAAGATAGAAAAACCGCATCTCAAAATCACATATATACTAACATCAATTGGTGCATATTCATAAAAAATGCAAATTCACTATCCTTCAAAGCTGGTCCATGTTTATGCAATCTTTTTTTTTTTTTAGGAACATCGACGTCTGTTTAGTTCATATATATACACAGACATATACACACGTATATGTATACAAGCTCAATATATTGCTATGTATAGACATATATATGTACAAACTCAAAAAAAAAAATGATGATTTTTAATAGTTGTACTTGTTCAAACTTCACCATCCCACTTTTAAGTTTTTGTTTTGTTGATCTCATCTATTATTGATATTCAAGAGGCTATTTAAAGGCAAGAATTACAAGAGTTGTAGTTATACACTGATACACAAATTTACATAAATTTAAGTTGTAGTGTAAAGTTGATACAGTAGATAATTATGTGCAAATAGTATTTATATTTATCTCTAATACTCTCCCTCAAGTTAAAGCCTGAGGATTCCGAACACCTAACTTGCTCAATAACGTATGAAATTGTTGGCGCCCAAGAGCTTTGGTGAAAGGGTCTGCAAGTTGTTGGAACACAATGGAGATATTACCTGCCAATAGTTGTTCCAGCACATAATGACAATCGACTTTTATATGTTTTGTTCGTTCATGAAAGACCGGATTGGAAACAATGTGAAGTGTGGCCTAGTTATCGCAGAAAAGTCACATGGGCTGCCTATAAAATACACCGAGTGAAGTGAGAAAGGATTTAAGCCATGTGAGTTCGCATGTAGTAATAACCATAGCGCGATATTCAACTTCAGCAAATGACCGAGCGACAGTAGGTTGCTTTTTGGTCTTCCAAGATATAAGTGAGTCACCAAGATGCATAAAATAAGCTGACAGTGAACGACTGGTCAACAGACAAGTAACTCAGTTGGAATCACAGTAGGCGAACAATTGCAAGGAGCTACTGGTGCTCAAAAAAATTCCTTGTCCTCGGGAGCCTTTGAGATTATGTAAGACGCGTAAAACAACATCCATATGAACTTAATGCAGTGTATGAAAAAATTGAGACAAAATGTGTACCGAATAACATAAGTCAGGGTGCGTGATAGTTAGATATACTAGACAACCAATGAGGTGACGATATTGTCCAGGGTCAGCTAGAAGAGGACTAGATGCACGAGCCAAATTGTGATTATGTTCCATGGGTGTAGTTGCTGGTTTGGCAGCAATAAAGCCAACTTCCTGTAAGATATTCAGAGTGTATTTACGTTGACATAAGAAAATACTAGTGGAATTACGTGCCACTTCGATGCCAAGAAAATATTTGAGATTACCCAAGTTCTTGATATGAAAAAAAGTGTTAAGATAATGCTTTAATGACTGACATGCTTGAGAGTTATTACTTGCTAAGATGAAATTGTCAACTTATACAAGGACAGCTAAGAAGACATCCCTTTTGCGATATGTAAACAAAGTGTGATCAACATGGGACTGGTAAAAACCATAATGACGAAGAGAAGAAGTAAGTTTAGCGAACTAGTTACGGGGAGACTGGTGAAGACCATATATAGACTTCCATAGTCGAAAAACTTTATCTGGGTGATGGGCATAAAATTCAGGAGGTAATTGCATATAAACCTTTTTCATGAAGATCCATGTGCAAGAATGCATTATTGACATCCATCTGATGCAGTTCCCATCCTTTAGTAACAACAGTAGTTAAGAAAATACGAACGCTTACCAGCTTAGCAACAAGAGCAAAGGTTTCATTGAATCTAATTCTTCAACCTGCTCATCACCTCGGACTACCAATCGGGCTTTGTAGCATTCAATAGAGCCATTAGAGTGATATTTGATTTTGTATAGCCATTTACAACGAATCAACTTCTTACTCAGAGGGAAAGTCTCAAGAGTCCATGTACCAGTTTTTTAAAGAGCATCAATCTCGGCACGCATGGCCTCACACCATTGGGGATCCTGCATGGCTTCGAGGAAAGTTCGGGGTTCGATCCCAATAGAAACAGCAACAAGAAAAATCTTATAATTAGCAAAAAATTGGTCACATTAGACATAATTAAGAAAAAAATATTGCGTACCTGAGGAACCTTTATGCGTAGTGATGAGTGGAGAGGGGTCTACAACCTATGTGGTATAACAAACATAGTCCTAGAGATGAGACGGAGGATGACAAAGGCGATGGCCTCGGCCCAATAGCTGCACGTGTTGTTCGGGTGGAGCCGGCTGGGTATTTTGTTTGGAAAAATCTGGAAGTAATGCAGGAGGTGGTTCAACAATGGAAGATGTTGTAGGGCTGGACATGTGGTTTTGAGAGATAGAAGTTGGACTGGACACAACTCCCCCTGTCGGAGAGCTTGAGGCGATGGGACGGGAAGTTGGCCAGTTCCAGCCGACATTGAATTGATGCGAGACAGTGGGTTGTGTGAGAGACTAGGTAGGAGGTGTAGGAGATGAGTATGGAAAAAAAATTTCATCAAAGACAGCATCTCGCCACCCAAAGATTTCATGTGTTTCTAAATCCAACAATTTCCATCCTTTTTTTCCATGTGGGTATCCCAAAAACATACATCAACGACTGCGCGGTGAGAATTTATCACGGGAACGAAACTTTTGATGTGCATAACACAAGCAACCAAAGGTTCAGAGATGTCATGATGGAGGTGGTGAAGAAAATAATTTTTCGTAGAGGGTGAGACCATGCAGAACAGAAGTAGGAGTTCGGTTAATTAAATGTGAGGATACATTCAACCTAAAATTCAATAGGGAGGCAAGCTTGAAAGAGTAAGGCTCGGGCGACCTCGAGGATATGTTGATGCTTACGCTCAACACGACCGTTTTATTGGGGAGTGTCAACAAAGCTAGTTTGATGGAGAAAACCATTATCAGCATAGTATTATTTCATGAAATTAGAAATAAACTCCGACTCATTGTCACTGCGAATGATTTTTACCTTTTTATCGAACTGGTTGTGAATCATGATGCAAAAATTGCGTAACAAATGGTTAACTTCAATTTTATCATGCATCAAATATACCCAAATAGCGCAACTGCAATCATCAACAATGGTTAGAAAATACCGAGCACCAGACAGGGTAGAACTACGATATAGACGCCAAATATCATAATGAATCAATTCAAATATTTTTGTAGCATAACTAGTACTAAGAGGAAAGCTGTTTCGAGTTTGTTTTGCTTGACAACAAACATCACAAAGTTTATTAGGTGCATGCAAACTTAATTTAGAACCAAAGATAGACAATAGGGATAATGCTTTAAAGGAGAGATGTCTCGTTCGATGATACCACAGCTCGTAGGATTCTTGGCCACGTACTGCAG